GGCCTCTGGTCCTGACATCTTGACTCAGATGTTACTCGTTCACCAACCTGCTCCTCACCTTACACAAAGTTATACTTATTAGAAGTGATTGTTCCTGCTGTGAAATGGGTTGAAGCCACCTCTGTGCTAATTCCCCCGAGGGCTAACTTCACCTGCCATCTCCACTTGCCTGAACACGCGCAGGGACCAGAACTCGCAAACACACCCCAGAGGGGACCACTCCCAGCCCTTTTACCCTGGCGCCCAACAAGTTCATTACCTTTAATTTCTTTGGTAAACTTTACCCTTTGGGAATCTGTCAGAGGTTTTTGTTGTTCTTCAATACTTTTAAAATCCAAAACTTCACAAACAAACTCGATAACTGGCTGTGCCTTGTAAAACGCTGTTGCTGACACTGCGGGTGATAAAAGGAGGAGACAAGGACTGGAGCATGATGTGGCGCCTGGGGGGCCCCACCCCGGAACCGACCACCTGCCAACGCCGCAGGGCTACGCGGGCCAGGTGGCAGCAACGGGACATCTGGCCTTGGTTTTCACTCTCCATGCCCTGACCTTCAGGCTTTAGAGACGGGAAAGCCAATGGTGCTGGAGGCCAGACCCCGCTGCCCCACATGCCCTCTGCTCAGGGGCAACGGATGGGGGCTGGTTGGGTCTAAAGATTAAGTCACTCTCTGAGAATAAAACTAGTTTTTAAAAACAAACAAAACCTAACAGTTCATGAGCATTGGATTTTTGTAGGATTTTCTGTCTTCTGGTATAGATATTTCTGCAATTTACCATTCCTTTTATATAATTATTGTTCAGTAAATGTATAGCTGATCAAGATATCATTTTCATTCCTTTCTAGAGCTTTTCATATTAATTAATTCCCAAATGAGAAGACAGTGTCCCTCTCTGACCTTCACTCTCATCATTTTAATAGAGAGCGAAGTGGGGGTCCAGCACAGAGAAGCAGCTGAGACTCCCGGGGGTGGGCAGGCTATGCCCAAACCTGAGAGGCGGCCAGCAGGATGGCAGCCAGGCGCCCAGTCCTCGGACGCAGGCTGAACATGAGCCTGCAAGATAAAGGGGAAGGATGCCGGGGAGTAGCCGCCAGACCTTGCACTGGGGATGCCAGCAGCTGCAGCAGCACAAACTTGTACAAAGGCAGATCCTCAGGCATCCCCAGCCCCACCAGCCAGGTCTCTGGGGTGGATGCTCCAGGTGGCTTCGGTGCTCTCTGAGGAGCACTACCCTGAGCTAGCAGATACCACGCAGGTGAGACAGGACAGGAGCCATGCAGCCTCACTGGCTTTGATGGAGGCTATGTTTGGAGCTGGCCACTCGGGCCTTCCCCAAGGTCTTGGATCTCAGCATACTTCCCAATCCCACCTTGCAATAAAGACCCCAGGGTGTTGCTTACCATCGATGTTCAGCATCATTTTCCAAAGAGAAGGTCGGACGGACTGATGGAAGCCAAACCACACTTCTCGGCCCCCGCCAAGAGGGTTGGAGCAGCCCTCGGACGCAGTGAAGAAGGAGCGGCCCACCGGGGTGTACCTGGGGCCAAGAGACCAGCGTCTGGTCAGATGCAATTTTAGGAAGGAACAGGCCATCCCAAGTCCACTCTCCACCCTTGTCAATCACACAGGCACACACACACATCAAGAGTTTTTCTTCCCTCTTTATAAAATGGCTTTCACTACACTGCACTCCAGCCTCTGTGCACGGCCTGCTGAGGGATGCTGTAAGCACAGCCTTGGGGACCCATGGCCTTGCTGCAGGAACAGCAAGAGAGGCCGAATGCCCCACACTGGAAGGCCCAGGCCCATGAACCCTGGTGTGTTGCTAGGTCAGGGCCCTTGAGGAGATGTGCTGCTTCTGGCACGTGGCTGTGAAGGACCATCGCGGACACGTGGGATACAGGTTTGGGTCAACTCCTGGTATGGAGTGTCTCCTCTGCACTAGGCACTGAGGGCTCCCGAGCAGGGGACAGCAAGGCCAGCGTGAGAAGATTCACGTGCTTCTGCAGGGCCAGTTACGGACGGCACAGAGACCCGGGCTGGAGCCCACCTGACCGGAGCAGACTTGTTCTCCAGCACAATCTCGCCGGCTGCACCGGCACACAGTGCCTGGCCGCCGGACGTGCCTTCGCCGAGGAGTCCCAAGGGAACGAGTACCCTTTAGCAGTGACACCACCCACGTGTGGGCTGCACTGTTAATAAAATCATCTACATAGCCCTTTTCACTTTCCACCTGAAATGGATTAATCCTGTGTTTTTCAAAAATGAAATAGCAGTTTCCTGATTCTAAAATTAATGTAAATAATCCAAAGAAATTCAAGAAAGAAAAACCATAGTCGTTCCTGCCACGCAATTAAAAAAGTAGACAACATTTTGGCAACCAGTCTTCTAGATTGCCTCGGCAACCACTGGTCTTCCTGCCACCAACAGCTCAAAGCAGTGACTGATTATACACCCGGGGTTGGGGACATTCCTACCAGGAGTGACAGCCTATCCTATCTTTGGTCATTTCCACCCAAGCCTGAAGACAGAATGCATAGTCCCCTTTAACTATATAATGTGTGGCTTCACAACCCCTTCTCTGTGGTTACAAAGAAAGCCTTGACTTTCTCCTCGAATCTTAAGAGCCTTGGTCAGTTCTGGAGGTCTGTCAGTGTGCATGTTTGCTTCAGTTGTAGGCTTTTGTTCTTTTCCTTGTTCATTCAAATCACTCCTGAGGTCCCAGACGCCAGCGTGAGGACGGGCGTTCCAGGGCAGGAACCTGAGGGCTGGATGTGCGAGCTGGCCTTGTTCCTACGACCTCGGGTCTCACAGGAAACCAGTGCAAACCTCCGCCCAACAACTGGGCCGATTATGAGCCACTAAAATGCTTACCTCTTTTAGTGATTTCACGTGTAGCAATTTTGTTTGTGGCAATTTATGGTAAAAGAGTAATCCCACAGAATAAAAAAAAGAAGCCTGAAGCATCTACAGTGTTAACCAGAGTCATGAAAAGCTGGTGGCCATGTTCATTTGCATGTGGCATGCTCCATGCCATCTGGTACGAGGAACAGAGTTTCATTCTAGTATCACCAGTCCCGAGCATGAAGGCAACAGAGAAGCAAAACAGTGCTGACAACACAGGGCTATGTGGAAAATGAATGCACCAATGTGCACAGACAGGGAGGTAACCTCTTTGTGCCAGGCAGAGAATGCCGGTGATTTATGTTTATGTTAGAATTCGTTTGCCTCTCAGCACTGTTCATTATCTCCATGGCAGAAACCCTACAGGACTGTCACCACCCTGACCCCAAGAACCAGCTCTTCCTTGGACTGAGGGTTCGTACTTTCCAGGTACGCTGGGATTGGACACAGATGCTCTCGGCCCTTTGGCCCCCTCACCTCATGGATGGCAAATGCCTCATGACCACGTCCAGGGCCTGGATCGTCTCAAAAGGGACGCTGGGCAGCCGTCCCGAAAGTGCATCGTGTAATGCCTGTAAGCTCACGCAGGACACCCACTTGATGGACACCTTGAAGATGCGATCTTTGCCTTCTCCTGGCAGCGTGACCTCCAGCTCCACCTGCAAGGGACCCAAAGCACACGAGGTTATTCCCGCCTGTGGAGCTGCCGGGGAGGAGGAGCCAGGTGGTGGTCAGCGTCCAGACACGTGTGGGCTGGGGGTTCTGTCCAGTCCTTTCCCCCATCCACTGGCCACATGTGGCTCCCAAGCACATGAAATGTGACCAGTTTTCTGAATTTTAACTTTACTTGGATGAATTTAAACTTACGCAGCCATGTACGGCTAGTGGCCAGTGTGCAGCAGTCTGAAACGGGCCCTCCTGATCCAAGTCTAAGCAGTGAACCCACTTCCTCCCTGCTCCTCAGCCGCTAAATCCCCCCTCCTCTCACCACCTGTGCGTGTGACGGCAGCCCCACACGCACCTGCATCCTTCACTCTGCTACTTAGAGCCTGCAAGTCCACCGCTGCCTGGCCCTCAGTATGTCCTGGATACGTGGCCACACCAACCCCACTCAGGCAGCGACGGAAGCAACTGATACTTGCCGATAATCCTTCCCAATGTTTACAGAACGTCTGCTCGACAGGTTATGGACTATATATACTTTGTCTTTAAATGCCCAGAAATCCCAGCACAAGAAAATTTATTTGCTACTTTCTATACACAAAAACACAGGAACTCAGACTTAAAAAACAGCCCAGGGCCACAGAGCCACAAAAGTGCAGGGATGGGATTTGGACCCAGGCTACCTGGGCTGACCTAAAAGGGCCTTCCACTCAACACCTGACGACCCGGGGCGATGGGGTCCTCGGCAGTGGAGCAACACAACACAGACGCACGGCTCCAGCCCGCATGCCCAGCTTCCCCCGCCCGGGTCCCACTGCCTGGCACGCCCTCCCTGACTCGGCCTGCTCGTCCAGGGCAAGTGTTCTCTGGCCACAGCAGGCACATTCTCTGGCTCACCCACGTGCCCACCATGCCTATTCAACTCCCATCTGCTCATCCTCATTGTCCAAGGCCTCTGCGCAGATCGGCCCACCTGTCATACCTCATTGGAACCTCACAAGCGCAACAACCAGACTCTACTGACGTCACTGCACACCTGCCTCAGGTGGACGCGTCATTCTTATCTGTCCCGGGCTGCGCCCACACATGCCCTCGCTCGGCATGTAGAGCACCTGATGGCCCTGAACTGGTGGGGGCCCCAGGACGATGGAGAGACAAGAACAATGAGAAAGGAACAGATTCTTCCAGCTGGGTGGCCTCGAATATCTAACACCAAGTAAAAGCAGCAAGGCACAAAAGGGTGCTACAGTATGATTCGTTCCAGACTTCGAAACCAGAGAGAAGATAACAACAAACGCAGCGGAAGCACACAGCTGATAAAACCCAAGTCATCAGGACGGTGGTCGTGCAGGAGGGAGGAGGGAACATCTTGACCTGGATAGTGCGTACGTGAAATCTGCCTCATCAGTACTCTTTAAATGTATGTGTACAGCTGACCCTAGCCGTGAGCATCCACTAACATGCAGATTTTCCTATACCTCCACCACCTCTGAGAAAGCAAGACGAACTCCTCCCCTTCCTCCTCAATGTGAAGACAACAAAGATGAAAACTTTATGAAGATCCACTTCCACTTAATGGACAAAAAATATATTTTCTCTTC